CCTCACTGTCAGGAAGTTTCTCCTTAATTCCAGGTTGCTTCTCTCTTTCAAACTGTGTCATCTAAAATAAGGCTCACCTTTTCTCATTTCCATAGAAATGTTTAGAATAAAATCCTTAACAGCATAGTGTGAGGGGACTGGTACTATTGCATCTTTTTGGTCAAGTTCTAAATGATTAGTTCACAGCATAGAAGTTGTAGAGCAACGATGGATGAGTCCCAAAGGAAATTTGGCAGTGAACTCAATAATATAATCTTGGTAAAACACAGGTAGTCCTCAACATATGATCACAATTGAGCCTAAAATTTCCATTGCTAAGCCAGGCAGTTGTTAAATGAGTTTTGCCCCATTTTACAATCTCTTGCCACCGTTGTTAATGGAATCACTGCCATCGTTAAGTGAATCATACAGTTTTTAAGTGAATCCAGCTTCCTCCCTCTATTGCATTTGCTTGTCCGAACCTTTCTGGGAAAGTTACAAATGGTAATCACATGACCCAGGACAGTGCAACGGTCATAAATACAAATTGCCAAGCATCCAAATTGTGAACCCCTCACCATGGGGAAGCTGCAATGGTTGTAAATATGAAAGACAGTCATAAGTCCCTTTTTTTCACCGCTATTATAACTTTGATCAGTCACAAAGTGAATACAGGTAGTCCTTGACTTAAAACCACAATTGAATCCAAAATTTATGTTGCTAAATGAGACATTTGTTAAGTTAGTTTTGCACCATTTTAAGATTTTTCTTGCCACATGTTAAGTGAATCACTGCAGTTGTTAAGTTAGTAACATGGCTGTTAAGTGAATCTGGCTTCCCCATTGACTTTGCTTATCAGAATGTCACAAAAGATGATCACATGACCCCAGGACACTGCAGTTGTCATAAATATGCCAAGCATCTGACTTTTGATCACGTGACCATGGGGATGTCACAACGGTTGTTTGAAAAACGGTCAGTACCGTTGTAACTTTGAATGGTCACTAAACGAACTGTTATAAATCATGGGCTACCTGTAGTAAAAACTCAGGAATTTTACATTATGTTAACCAAAATTGAGATGCTGACTACAATTCAAGCCAAGTCCGGAGAGTTTGCTTTTGGTTTAGTTCCTAGCATTTCTTAAATTGGGCTGAAAATCAGGAAAACGAAAAGGATTATTTACAGGAGGAATCAAAGAAGGAAACAAGGAATATGCCCCATAATAAATGAATTGAAAATTTCAGTTGTCAACAATTTAGCATCAAGAAACATTGAAACTGAATATTACTTGCAGTCAAATAACTTCCAAATAAGAATATTCTGAGTGTGAAGAAATCAACTGATCTTCCTTAGCTGATTAACAGTGTGGATACCCTCTTCCAAGCAGGTCGGTATCCAATGCTAGAGCCAGGGTTATTTAGGAAGAAACCCAAGCCTGGGAAATTGAATCTCTTTTATCAAAACTAAACAAAAGAATAATCCAAGGGCTGTGTTAGTACAGTAGTCTTATAAAAGTGAGGGTGCAGGCAGAAACCACACCAAGAACATGTAGACTGGGTGATCTTTTCATCAAAAATCCTGAATAATTGAAATTCTGATGTGGAGCTCTGCAGGACAAACCAAATAAAAAAATTGATTATGGTTGATGACCAGAAATCCAATATAATAATTCAAATCTTTATTAAAAGGAGGCAATTTCTATCTTTCCCGACATTAAAGCCTTTTCACGAGAGCCAGTTTTTAGCATAATGTGTCCAAAGTTGGATGCATTGAGCCTGGTCATTTGTGCCTTGAGTGAGAACTCTGGGTCTATTTAGTCAATGATCCATCAGCTTCTTTCTTGACTGTCCAAAATATTCCCAGGAGTCTTCGCCAACACTAAGTTCAAAAGCCTCAATTCTATCCTGTTTCTTTAAAGTCCAACTTCTGCTTCCATAATGTGTCATAGGAAATATCGTGGCTAGTACGATTTTGATCTTTGTAGTTATAGATACATCATAGCCCATGAATATCTTTTCCAAGGCTTTCATAACTGTTCTGTCAGATACTAGTCTCCAGATTATTTCTTGATTGCTTGTTCCTTTACTGTTGATGGTTCATCCTAAAAAGCCAAAGTTGTCCCCCACTTCAATATCTTCGTTGTCAATTCTAATGCTGGTTGTTCTACCTGTTACCATTAATTTGGCCTTGTTTATATTTTATTCCCATTTTTGTACTGTGCCCTTTGACTTTGCATTTTGATTTGCATATCCTTTGCATTTTCAGCTATTAAGATAGTATCGTCAGCATAGTGCAGTATATTTCTTCCTCCAATTTTAAAACTACATTCATCTTCCAATCCAGCTTCCCTTCCCTTCCATGCATGGAATGAGTAAATAAGAAGGTATGCAGCCTTGTCGGACTCCTTCACTAACCTGGACTCAGTCTTCAATAAAAATAATGTCTTTTCTCTAATCAAAAGAGTCAATTTAATCATTTCAGCAAAAATTGTCAACTTCAGTCACTCCTCCACAATGCATAGTGCCTACTCTTTCCATCTCTGTGCATATAGTAATCTTGATGCAGTAATCATATTTTGAAGTACTCTTCCATGGCTTTTTTCTAACTGTTTATCCATTAATCCTAAAAGGAAAAGTTCTGGCTTTAATTGAACACTGATTTTTTAAAAAATCTCTGTATCAAAGTATGTATTTAATCCAATTTTGTTCACATTTTGAAATATTTGAAAGGCTTTTATACATTCTAGATAATTTCTCTGATGCCATGCTAATGTCATTTTATAAAAATTCTCTTTTGAATCATACCATGGAAAGTTCAGCCCTTTTGACCACATATTTTCCCATTATTCCATCGAAATAACTAAAAATCTTAGTCTCCTTTATCATACATTCTTTAATCTGTTCTTCCTGTTTGAAACTTCAACAAACTTACATTTTAGCAATTACATATTCATCAGTAAATAATTGTATTTCAAACTCTGACTTATTTTGTTCCATACCATAAGTCTTTTATACGTTTAAAATTTTTCAAATAACTGTAAATGGGAACATGAGCAACTACTCTATATCCTTCTGCTATTAATTGCTCTTGATTTGATTTTAAATTCCACTTGATAGTTTTCCAGTAAATCCTAGTACATCAGCCATTTATCTTTCTCTGGCAATTCTCTTCTATAATATGTTTCTTGAACTGAGATATAAAGATATTTTCAAACACAACCTGGGTTTATGTCTATTCCATATTCTGAATATGGCATGCCTAATAAAATGATTTTTAAAATCCACATCAATTTTAACTTTATTATACCATAAATATCCATACCATCTGAACCTTTCTAACTGTAAAAGTCTCTTGTTTTCTCAGCAACATCCATTCTTTCATCCAGACCAAGCAACCAGCAGCAAATTATAATTTCAAATTTGGTAAACCTAATCTTTCTCTTTCCTTTGCATGCCTAACTTTAATTTGTGGCATTTCCTTTGCCATAAAAATTTAGATATGTCTTTGTGGCATTGTATGTCTGTGGTCAAAAGAGGTATTGCCTGAAACAAAAACATCATTCTTGGCAAAACGTTTTTATCAAATAAATTCTCCCCAACAGACTTTTCTATAATTAATGAAGCACATACTGACTCCTTTTGGGAGGGGGCTTTTCAATTATTCAGCATACATTGGCAGTAATGTCTCATGTTTTTTGGCCTTTTCTAAAGTCAGTTTAAACCTCTGGCATTTGTTTTCCTAGAAAAGATCTGTGTTGGATGATCTTAAACTAATGTTAGCATGTGAAATTAAGGACATTGTATGGTTTGCACAGTCTGCTTGCAGTTTTTCTTTTAGTGTTGGAAACTAGATTGACTTCTTCCAGTTGGTTAGTCTCCATGTCTTTCTCCAGATTTGCTGTCATAGCTTGGTTAGAACTGACTAGTTTATGTTCTTTTGGTTGCCATATTTCATTATGGGTATTCCATCAGTTCCTATAAATTCTCAACTTGGTAATGATTGGAATGCTGATCTGATTTCATATTCTACTACCAGAGGTTCTTATAAGAAATAGATCCTAAGATACCTTATATGCTGATATCTCTACTATATAGTATATTCAGTATTTCAAGTTTTCCTTTTTTCCCCCACGTTTTCAGATGTTGTAATACTGCTTTTTGTCTTTTCTAAAAGCTCTTTAGTTTAATTCTTTTCTGAGATTTTTTTTCTGTTTCCTGGCTTTGGCTTCTCTTCTGTTCTTGCCAATTTCTAATTTATTCTAACATCCAATTTGCTTTCTTCTCTTACTTCATTTACAGCAGTTTCCTTTCATAAATTGTTATCCTTAACAATTTCTTTATTTCATAATTCTGTATTAATGAGGTTCAGGAAAGCTATTCCCAATGTTCTTCTTTAAAATGGTGGATATATATTCAAGATTACATCATATAAATTGACTGGCTTTCTTCTTCTTTAGTTTAACTTGAAGCTTGCATAGGAGCCGTTTATGATGTATTCCAGTCATGTCTTTGATGTTATAACGGAGCTCCATATACTTTTAGCAGTAATATCGTCAATAGAATAAAATCAAATCAAATGGAAAAGATATAACCTAGAAAAATATGCTCCATAGACTTGATCACATGGGTATTAACTCTATAATACAGGATTTTTTGGCACCTTTCTTATATTGTGATTCCAAGAAATTAAAAAGAATACAATCTTTGCTATCTTCTCTTTCATCAGTTGCAGCAATCTCTTTTCACATTCATCCTTTACTATTAAGGTGATCTTATTTTTAAAAGATGTAGGACAGATAGAATCACAGAAAGATTATGTATTGTTCCATAAATGAAACATTAACAAGACTGATTAAAAATATAAAAAACTTTGTATACAGTGGAAAGAGTATGTTTTTGTTCCTAAGTTTCCTTTAAATTAAATTTGTTAAGAGATTTTATAGATTCTCCTCCATCATCTTATTGTTCATCAGATCATTTCTAATGAAAGAAACTAGAGTTTATTTTATTTCATTATAGATCATATAGCAGAAATTTTGAGGAACAAGATGCATCACTGAAAGAAAAACAAGCAAATTCTAATTTAACAGCTTATATTTCGGAAAACACTGCAGGCATAACTTCAGAAGTCTACAATTCTCAGTACTTGGGAACATCAGAGTCTTCGGGGAAAAATCAATCAATGGTAATGCACACAATTAATGAATACACAATTTAAATATAAGGATTTAATTATTGAGTTTACTGAAGAGCAGTTAAAAGGACCAAACTGAGCTACTTAGCAATCCTGCTTAGATCATTTGTTATAAAGTGTTTTGTTGTCGTTCATTAAAGCATTTTTAATATACCCGAATACTTTGTTTTATGTAAACCTCCTAATAATGCTTTTTTTTTAGCTATAAGACTTAGTTGGAAAAATATACACACATACACACACCATCCAGGTGAACGCAGTGAGATTAATTTTCAGTAGACAGTATTGCATTGAAGAAGTGCAATTCAATACATATTTGTTTCATTGCAATAATTTATTTATTTGGGTGTAGTGTGTAAGACTATATTGCATGAGGCTTCCCCAATCTGTTTAATTAAACTTTCTAAATAAAACTGGCCTATTTTGTCATTGTGTAAATTTTTCTGTTGATGTGAATGATGTGATTTTAGAGCTTTAGAGCTTCCAGTATCAGAATTAAGAATTGTTTCAAATATTTTGTACAACATATATAGCATATTTACTCCAAAACTAAACTTGAAATTTTACTGCTTAAAAGTAAAAACTCCTCAGTGCCCAGCTTTCTTCCTTGTCACCTAGTTACTAATTTCAGTTGAAATCATTTTTGGAGATTCCTTTCTTCCTTCATAATGTGCATATGTAAAAAACTTGAATATGAATGTGGTCTTGAAACAACTTCCTACAACTAATGAGAGAATCACAGTTTGTTTCTAATTAAATTGATGCCTGTAGAAAAAATACCACTTATAAAAATGAATTGATCTCCAGTGTATGTAGCCATATTTTTCCTCTTTCTTTTACATACACAAGCACATCTTCCTTTCCATTCTGGCAGATACAGAAAAAGGAGGTGAGGTGGGGATAACGGAATGAAAAGGGGATGATGAGATGAAGGGTAGGGAAGAGAGGGGGAGGAAACAAAATTGGATACAGATAGGAAAGGGGAAGAAGCAATTGGTTAATAACCACAACTTTATCAAATTTATATCCCACCCATCCAGCAAGATTAGGATAGGGAAGAAGAGTCAAGTTATTATTTTATAATAACTTACTTAAGCATTATAAAAGGCTTACAGGCAGCCTCACCATAGTAGTTTCTTTTTTTTTCCAGGGCATCCAGTTAGTACAGCAGTAATATCTGCAGCCATTTGCATTTCTTACTCTTTCCTTTCCAACATCTGTTGAAAAATTAAGAGGATTCCCTCTTCCTATCCGGAGGGGGGGTGACTAATCTTAAAAATAGTGGTAAGACACATGCTTTGATAAAAGTTTGTTTTCAATGCCTTTTATTTTATCCTTCATCTCTGCCAGACTCTTCTCTGGGAACGTCGGGCTTTTCCACTAAAAAATGAAGAAGTAGAAACTTTAATACCCCAGCGTCAGCTAGCAGCTCATCAAGAATGTTCAAATATGTCTGTTCTTAGAGACTCTGACCATAACCCATACACTGCCTTTAGTTTTCTGAATGATAACCAGTCACAAAAGGAGAGTTCTATCTCTGAAGTGGAAAACCACCAAATTTACTTGGGAAGAAAACAGACGTGACAGAGAGTAAAGTTGCTTATTTAGGACAGTAAATCAAACTGAAGGAAGATGTAAGGTAATATATTTTCATATATTTCATGCAAGCAATAATTTTTCATATATTCCATGCAAGCAATAATTTTCGTCATAATAATAATTACAATATATTTTTTTACTTTTTTTACAGGCAGGATGAGAATGCAAGAGCTATTTATTTATCTGAATTCCAAGAATGTTTTTTGTCCGGTAGACTAACATACTTGATGTGAAAAATGGATGCTCTTAAACTGTAACCTCAAATCACCGTCCCATCTTGATCAAATATGCAAAGTGTCTAGTTATTGCAGTGCAGCAAAATATATCTTTGCATTTAGCAAGTGGTAAAAAAATTTATAAATTTATTAATAGATCATATATTTGAATTCATTAGGCTAGACAAGTTAAAACTACAGATGAGATAAAGTCAGCTTAAATGATTTAATTTTCTCTACTTCAATGGATTTCTCCCTCACCGCCATTATTTTAAAGGTAAGTAATAGAAGTATCTGAGAAATTCAGATTTTTGAAGTAAGGGAATCTAATATTTTATTGCATTTAGCAGTATTTATACTTATTTAACTCTTTTTGTATCCCTACAAATACTATGTATGTGTTACAATCAGCGGATTATGAGCATCCATTTTTGTATCTTAGAAACTTTAAATATATATGGAAAAAAGGACATTTAAATATAAGCATTATGAGCAAGACAAAATAGCTGTTTTAGGTAATGAGAAGACAGATGAAAAAGTTCTCATTCAAATTTCAAAATGCTGCATTACAATGTTACATGTATCCACCAGGGATGCTAGGTGAATAGATATTGCACAGGATTGTTGTGTGCATTTACTGATAACAATTCAAGATAGCTCTTCTGTGAGGAACTATTGATGGTTTTTATTAACATATGATTTTAAGTATGCTTTTTAAAACTATCATTTCCCAAAGTTAGCTTTAATGGATAGATGGCCAAATTTTAGTGTCCCATTGTCCCAGCAGATTAGAAGTACACTGGCTAATATAAAAATGTTAAGTTGCATTTTCACACTACAGCCTATGTTAGATTGTAGTTTCCTGTATATTTTGGTTTTAGTTTTTTAAATATTTTGTCCAGAAAATTAACTTTGAATCTTGCCTGATATACCAATTTTCAATGCAAGGTTTTAAAATTAAAAGTTATTTCTCTATACTACAGTGTGATGTTAATGGATTGAATTGTGTAACAAAAAATGAACATAAATATAATATCCCTTTAGTATTTTGTATTTAATTATGACAAATCATGATTGGGAGATACTGTTGGCTTGGCATCAAATGTTTTACATAATTGTGATGAATATGAAACGACATTTTTTCCCCTCTGATTTGCTTTCCAAAACTGAAGTCTGTATTTTTGTTGGTCAACCTTATTTCTGGTTTATCATCTTACATTTCTTTTTAATATATAAATTACAGTGACTTCTAATATATGAGTGTCCAGCCAGAATGTGAAAAATGAAAACATGCATTCTTTAAAAAAGGATTTTTATTTTATTGATTTGATTTTCACTCTTAAAACAGAGCTTATTATGACTTACATCTTTATTACAATGAGCTAAATGGTGGGCTTTGATCATTTGAAAGATGAAATTCTTTTTTCTGGTAAGTTACTTTTTTCATAGTAATAAATTTCTTGTGAATATCTATTCTTACAGTTGATGACAAGTGAAGGAGATGCAATTCATACATATATTGCTTTGGTCTATTATAGATGCCTGTTGTATGTCTGCTAACTTCTACTTAGTTATTTTAAATGAATTTAAAGATCTATGTAAACAATTATATTGTATTATTCTTAACATCCGCAAAATTTCTTAGTCAAATTTATTGTTTTATTAAATATTCTGTTGAATTCAATAGGGCTTACTCTTAGTCAAATCTTAGCCAAAAGATTGCAGCCTTTGCAGATTAGATAAACAGAGCCAGAACCCCTAAAAGTTTGCTATCAATTCCCAAAACAGCAAAAAGTATGCATTTAACCACCTTATCTGCCCAGACCTGGAGTAAAAAATATTTATTTTAATACAATTGGACAACAGAAAAAGGCTCTATATATTTTCTTGTTTTTATACTCTTCAGCTTATTCTTCATGCAAATGGAGATACAGTTATCAACATTTTGTTTTTTTAAAAAAAAGATCTGTACATCCCTGTTCTTTAATATTGTCTCCCTCTGTTTTTTCAGCATGAAAAGGGCAGGAAATAGACCAAGTTTTTTTTTTAAATTTCAAAACATATTTTCAATAAAGCCAATTAAAAAAATTAATGTCAAACATTCCACTGAAAAGAGAATTGCAATATTTGTCTTCATTATCCTATTTGTCTTAAGAAAATGATAGAAATGTTGTAATTTGATGTGCCAATTTTGACTGGAAGACTGTTTTTCATTCAAAAGGCATTTGACAGGCACCAAATCATAAAATTTCCTTAACTACTTTTATAGTATGAACTATACATCTACAATGAAATTTCTGAAACATCTGTATAAATTGGGTATCAAAAAGAATGTGCATATGTGCATATATAGAAGAAACAAATTATTTTCAATTTGCAAGTAACTTATACAAGCTGAATGATAATTAACATTGCTTCAAAGCCCAGATATGCATTTTTTTTCAGGCTGAGGGTACAACCAAGAATTGGGTGGATTCCAAGAAGATAACTACATTTAATGTAAATTACTTTCCAAGTATTTAATAGTTTTTCCTTCTGTCATTGTAACAGTTACAATTGATGACAATTTTTAAAAGTTTTACAGATTTTATATCCATGATCTTATTTTTTTAACAGTTTGCAACTTTTGCTGTTATTTTCATATTCAGAACATTGAAGCAGATTTCCTGCTCCATTATTTCCATTTCTCATATTTATCCTCCCATTTTTATTCTTAAAGTGGATTGGAGCTATAATTGTTTATCAAGGCCAAGTCACCCTTCAACTTTTCCAATTCAAGGGCTTATTATCTAGCATTTTATTTTAAGGAATTACCACATTTGTATTTAAAAAAATTTTAAAAAGCTTTTCAATGACAAACTGTTGCATGAAATAAAGGAGCAAACAAGAAACGTTTTCTCCAAGATTACAAGACACTCTTACTATGTATTGTGCTTAGTTTTTTGGGCATAAAATGAGACTTCAAACTTGATGTCCTGTTTTATTTCACAATGGTATTCCAACCCACCCACAAGAACAATAAAATGCAACCCATTCGGTTGCCACCCGATTTTACCGATCAAGAGAACGCTTTTGAGCAGCTTCACAACAGACATTCCTCAGAAGGTTAATCACAGCTCTAGGGTCGTCACTCTTCATTATAGCACTCCCAGATACAATCATATTTGCACCTGCCTAAAAGCAAATCCCATGACACTGCATTAGAATTTTTAAAATAAACATGCAACAATTAATTATAGAAAATTGTGAAATATAATGTATACATTCTAACAGAAACAAACAGCAGTTAGCCAGATCAGCACCTTTAATTATACTTTTCTTGTTACTCCTAATTAGCAAGAAACATCAAGGGCTGTCAAAAGTACCAAATAAATACTCAAATGTTTTTCGAAAAACTTACTTCTATATTTAATCAGAATGAAAAAAAAATATTAAACTGAGATTTAAAAAACTGGATTACCTAGGCATAACAAATTCCAATGATTACAATTTTTCATTTAACGTGGACTGTCTCTTAGTCTTACCTCTGCGCATTTATGTATAGTGTCTGGCCCTACACCACCATCTACTTCAATATCCAAAGAAGGAAACTGGGTTCTCAGCCAGTGAACCTAGTTAGCAATGCAGAAAGAACAACTTCAATTAATAGGAGCAGTAATTATTTTTCTCAAAATATGCAAAATTAGACATCAATGTATAGTATGAAGATTCTCAGTTAAAATGTTTGTTCCCATTACTTTTTCATAATACTGGGATTTTTGAAATAATTTGCAAACTTACCTTTGGCATCATATCTTCCATGAACGTTTGTCCACCAAAACCAGGTTCCACTGTCATAACTAAAGCCATATCTATCTGATTGGCCCATGGTGCTAAAAAATCTACTGTGGTTCCTGGTTTGATAGCCAAACCAACCTAAAGAAGAAAAGGACCAAAATATTAAAACAACTTGTATCCTGAATCTTTCTTTTAGAAAAGAAACAAAAAGATTCAAATTGATTCCCACCAGATATTAGTAAAAAAGTTCTGCCAAATAAACATTTTTCAATGGTGAAGAAAAAGATTACTTACAATGTAAATCCACTAAGCCAGACATGTCAAACTCGCGACGTCACGTGATGTTGTGAGTCGTATCGGGACATTTTTGCCATTGCCGCCAACGAGGTGGGCGTGGCTTCTGGATGACGCGTCCGGCCCACAGGCCGGCAGTTTGATACCCCTGTACTAAGCTAATGTTTGCTTAATATGCGTATGGATGCATTGGTCTTAAAGTTGTGATTAAACAGCATTCATTAAGCACCCATTATAGTGATTGGTATGTATGTGCAAAGTGTCTAATTTCAAAGTATTTTAGTGTTTGAGCTCAAAGAAAAAATCCACTGTTTTAAGTTTAAGACAAAATGGGGGAGAGGATCAGTATATGTTGCTTTGAGTGTCTTGACATTTGTAACGGTGGGAGTTCCTTCTAAACTTTTCAGACCATACAGACATGGAGTAAATTAGCTTCATCTTTGCTCCTATGGGCTGGAGTTAGCTAAGAGGAGAATAGGAATCAGGGTGAGATGTTTTGTATAAGCAGGTGTAACATTCTAGAATACTCTGTTGAGATTCCTTTTTCAAAAATTCAGATTCCAAAGTATACAATATATAACGTATATGTGTTACAGGTACTGCTGTGAGGGTACATATGCAAAATTATACTGATGTATATTTTTCACAGATAGAGAAGTGTTTTGTTGCAGTTGCTAAGTTATGAGTTGAGTTAAAGTGATTCTAATGCTGTCTGCTCTGTTGGATTTAATTCTGTGGCTGTTAATGAGATATGCAAAATCACTGTCTTCCAACTTTTTATAAGTCAGATGGTAAATAGCAATAAGCAGAGACTACACTGTTCATTTACATTTGTGCAACTGGGGAGAAAAGTAAAAGGCTTGAGTTACTGCAAATGATGGGACATTGAAAAGTTTCAAGTGTTTATTCCATTCAAACAGAAAACACTCAAAATGTTTTGAGGAAGTTTCTGCAGGAAAACTGGTAGTTAAAACTGTCCAATGAACATTTTGAATGGAGCTCTTTTGTTCCAAAGAGAACAAAACATTAGCAAGTCAGAAACAAGTAAATAGCACAATGAATATAGGAAATAATCTACCTTATCAAATTTAGTTGAGCTGATAGTTTAGAAGTAGGGGAACAGGTCTAGGGTATATATGGGTATATAACCCCATATGCATACATATGACTATGGTTGCCCATATCCTAAACTATAATCCTAAATATATTCTTTACAATACTTTTTAAACAATGTAACATAATAATTCCTACTGTGTTACCAAAAAAATATTTGAAAGCACCTGTCAGTACAAAGCATCCAACATCATAGCTCTGCCGTGTCTCTTTCTAAGCACAGCCTCTAAGATTCAAGTTATTCTGCCCCATGTTTGCCATTAGATATATCTAAGAACTCAATCACATCAAATACAAAAATGCTGAATTACTTTCTTGGGGTAGAGTGTAGTATTCTTTTTTCTGCATGGTTTCTAGTCTGAGCTTTAATTCCTATCAATTAGAAAATATTTAGAACAGTATTTCCCACATTAACGTAATGAAGGCAATTAGAAAAATAAAGTGTGGCTATCAGCCACAATACAGGAAACACTGTCCTAGAATATAGAAGATCTAATGTGACATACAGAGATATGTGAGGTTAAGGATTATTTTACTGAACTGTAACACCTTAATAGCCAATTTGTTATAGTGGTTAAGACATCAGATGAGAAATCAGGAGACTATGAGTTCTAGTTTTGTCTTGGGCACAAAACCAGTCACTTTGGGTGACCTTGAGCCATTACTTTCTTAGGAAGAAGGCAATGGAAAACCACTTCTGAAAAATATTGCCAAGAAAACTGCAGGGACTTGTCCAAGCTGTCTCCAGAATTGGATACAACTGAACAGAAGGAAAAAAAATCAGATTTCTGTAATACTTTGTACATTTCTTTGGTATTTTAAAGGAATAAGAGATACAATGTAGGAGAAAGAGTAGCAGAATCTGGGAGTGGAATTAAAATAAGGATCACCTTAGAATCTGTGTGTAACTACAACAGAACTAAGTCCACCCCCCCCCTTCCCTTGAACTCCATTGACCCCTACCTAACCCCAAGCGGGTGCTAACCATTAGTTGAAAAGAGGAATTACTAAATTCTATCAATTCCAAACCTCTCACCTTCATTCCATTTTCTCTTATATCTTTGATGAGGGCTCCTGCATTGTCGGTAGCTTCTATATGAAAGGTATACTGATTTGCACCAGCTACAGCCATAGGTTTTACCCACTGTTCTGGTTTAGCAACCATCATATGCATATCTAGAAAGAACAAAAAAAAAAAAAAAAATCAGAAGCACAAAATACTGGACTGCATATTTTCCAAATCACTAAACCCGAGGACAGTCCCAATTTATAAAACATTGTCTGGCTTGGTTTTAGGATATAAAAGATATAAGGATAGGACCCAGAGGTAAGCTTTTAGCACTCGGTACCCAAATACATATCTAGTAGGCTCTTTCCCTCAAATACTAACATTTCAATCTGTTTAGGGGATTATACCGCATGACTATGGTAATACCTTAAATTCAAGAAAAACCTTGTTAATATGCTTTTCACCTATCCTTTCAAGTGTTGCTGTCTTATTCATGAGAAGTTTCTGACAGGGCAATGATTAGCCTTGACTGTATCACATTGACCCTCAAAGCAGTTGTTCACCTGGTACCCTGTTTTGTTGCTACTGAAGCTGCTCACAACCCTTGCTTGTGCCACTGGCATGCCATTTAGTGAGAGGAATCCCTTACCACATCAACTGATGGCTTCTTCCTCTTGTCCAAGCAGTCCTGACCAGCAAAAACCCCAGTACTCACTAGAGCAATAAGGCTGGCTCTCCTAAGAAGTGGAGGTGGGCTTACCGTTGAAGCAAGTCCTCTCCTCTGTTTTTTTCTAGCTCCCCCCCCAACCCTGGCTTCCAGCTTGCAGTGCTCAGGCAGTAGCAAGCATATAGTCTGGTTGGGTTCTGGCAGGAGGCACTACCTTCACAGGTCATGGCAGCCGCTTACTGTTGCCTTGTGGACTCCTAATGTTACTTTGTTCACAAGACAATATTTCACATTTCATTCATTCATTCTGACAGCCAAACAATAACTGATCATAGAGGCACAGCCTGATGGGAAGTGACAGTCCTATAGCAGGACAGTTGGTATCAAGCAAAAAGTGGCTCTTCTGTTACCAGATCTACATAGATGGTCTTCTTCCATTTTCCAATAGTAAACACTTTACTGCCAGATTACTTTGACCATCATGCTTTTCATCATGGTTCAGTATCAGACTATTTACAAGGCAGAAGCTCTATTGTGAAGAATATCCTCATATGGATAACGTTAGAGATGGGGCATAGTGTAACATGTATGAAATGTTTGGATGCATCTCATTTTTGGTCTGGACTTAGAAGACAACTTTTGCCATTGTGGAAAACACTATTCAGTCTTAGCCTTTATTATTTTGCCATCATAATAAAATTACTTGTATTTAATATTATTAAATTGATACATTGAGTTTTAAATACAGTAACAGAAGTTCTGTAAATCTATGGAACACAAAGAGAAGATTTTAATTTATTTATTTCAATTATACAACCACCTATCCTACACATATAACTGGGTGAGTCATGAAATTAAAATTTAAAAAATCATGTAATTAACTAAAAACAAAGACCACAAAAAGCTATCAAAACAATTAAAATAATTAACCACACTGATTTCATACTGTAGGAACCAGTGATTTTTCCAGAGTAATTTGACAGATTTAAAATATAAAGGGTTGAAAAGTTCTGTGATAGAATGTGCACAATGGTCTTACCTGAACGCCTTTTCTCAGCATGACAATGAAGAATCCACCAATGGGTTAACTTTGTCATCTGCCCATAGACTAGTCGTCTAATTTTGCTCCGCCTTTCCTCCTGGGACCTCCCTTCCCCAGTCTCGACGAGGTGAAAGCTGTTTGGCTATGTTTTCTTGGGTTGACTCCATCCTCTCCCCTCACAGGACCTGACTGGCCTCAAGGGTGGGAGTGGATTCTCCATCGTCATGCTGAGAAAAGGCGTTCAGGTAAGACCAACACCCCTTCTCCAGCATGACAAGTGGAGAATTCACCAATGGGACATACCAAAGCCTCACTGTCCTTGTGGTGGGATGCAGTCTGGGCCGGTGTCCCACTCTCTGATACTATGCACTGGAGTACCCTCCTGCCAAAGGAGGCTTCCGCAGATGCGAATCTGTCTAATTTGTAGTGTCTTATAAAAGGGGAAGGCGATGTCCACGTCGCCGCTCTACATATTTCTTCAATCGAAGCCTGAGTTGCCCATGCTGCTGAGGTTGCAGCACTGCGTGTGGAATGTATGATGATTTGTCTGGGGACCGTCAAGGACTGTCCCCTGTATGCCTCCACTATACACCTTCTAATCCATCTACCGATTGTGGATGCAGTGACCCTCCGACCTCTTGTGTGTGAATGGAAGGAGACAAACAGTGCTTACAATTTATGGAAGGGTACCGTTCGCTTGATGTAGTGCTTTAAAGCTCTGCAAACATCTAAGGTGTGCCACTTGCGCTCCAGTTCATGGGATGGTTCGGGGCAAAAGTTTGGTAGCACCACCTCCTGTGCTCTGTGGAATAGGGAATTGACCTTTGGAATGAAGGAGGGGTCCAAACGTAACACCATCCTGTCCGTGTGGAAGGTACAAAGGTCCTCCCTCACTGACAGGGCTGCTAGTTGCTAGATGCGTCTTGCTGAGGTAACAGTGACTAAGAAGGCGACCTTAAGGGTCAGGTACTATAGGTCACAGATCCTGACAGGCTCAAATGGAGGTAAGGTTATGGCCTGTAGGACCTTAGGTAGATCCCAGGAGGGGTATCTGTGTACTACAGGTGGCCTACTGTTAGATGTGCCCTTTACAAAGGATTGCACCACTGGGTATCTGGCTAGAGTTTCGGAGTTGCTGTAGGTAAGAATGGTTGATAGGGCAGTCACCTGTCTACGAATTGTATTGGGTGCTAACCCCCTATCCAGACACTCTGCTAAGTAGTCTTAAGATATCTGGGATAGAGATGTTACATGGGTCTAGTTGTTGCCTGTTGAACCAACTGCAATAATTTTTCCAAGTGGAATCATAGATCCTGTTAGTTGTAGGCCTTCTAGAGGCTTGGACAGTCCTAATGACTCTTTGTGAGAAGTTGTCTCTCTCTAGGAGACTCCGCTCAAGCGCCAGGCGGTCAATTGGAGCCACTGTGGGTCTGGATGTAGCAGGGACCCCTGGCTGAGGGAAATTTGGTCGTGTGGAATCCTCCACGGTGGAGATGTAGATAGGTTTACGAGATCAGCAAACCATGGCTGTCTTGGCCAGTGCGGTGCAATGAGTATCACCTCCGCCTGTTCCTGCAATATCTTCCTGATGGTTGCTTGTATCAGAGGAAGAGGTGGGAATGTATACAGCAGTCCTTTCGGCCAGTGGCCTCAGAGTGCATCCGCTCTCTCTGCTCCTGGTGTCGAAAAACGAGAGAAGAACCTCGGAAGCTGAGTATTCTTTGGACTGACAAATAGGTCCAACACTGGATTGCTGAATATCTCTGCTGCCTCTCTGAAGAGAGCAGGGTGCAAGCTCCACTCTGAGTGGTCTATCGTTGTCCTGCTCAGGAAGTCTGCCTGGCGATTGGCATCTCCTGAAATGTGCTCAGCCTTGATGGAGGCTAGGTTGTTTTCTGCCCAGGTTCCCAGCGCTTGTGCTTCGTTCATGAGGGCCCTGGATCGCGTGCCTCGTTGGTTGACATGCGCTTTGGCCGCCACGTCCGTGAGTATGAGCACGTGTCGATGTGCCACTGTGCTGCGGAAGTGACAGAGGGCCAGGTGTATGGCTCTGAGTTCTAGCCAGTTTATGTTGTGCTTTAGGTCTTTCTTTGACCATTGACCCTGTGCTAGCTGTGATTGCAGGTGTGCTCCCCAGCCGAACAGGGTGTAAGGGTGACTCGGTTGGCTTCCCTGAACAAGTGTCCCTTCCCCATCGCTGGGGAGGACCACCACTGGAGCGACCTCAGGACTTTGGTGGCACCTTCACTCTTCGGTTTAACGAGCCTATTCCCACTCTTTGAAACGGAAGTAGGAACCACTGGAGCTCTCTGGAGTGTAGCCTTGCCCAAGGTACGATTGTGAGGCATGACACTATCTTTGCTAGCAGCTGTGAGAGTGTAGCCAGCATTGAGGATCGCTTCCTTCAGATAAGCCTGACCAGGATTCGAATGCTGCGTTGACGGTCCTGAGAGAGATGGACTGTGCATTTTTGTGTGTCTATGACCGCTCCCAGATGAAGAAGACAGTAAGGAAACAGTCTGACTCTTCTGAAAATTTACTGAGAACCCGTGGTCTTGAACGGTTTTCAGAGTCAGTGCCAGGTCTGACTGTGCTGTCTGGACCGAGGAGGATTGGATGAGAATGTCGTCCAGATAGCATTGGATGTGCACCGGAATTGTTCTCAAGTGCATGGCGATTGTTGCCAATATCTTTCTGAACACCCTGGGAGCTGAAGAAAGTCCAAAAGGTAGGGCCCTGTATAGGAAGTGTTGACCCGTGTGGTAGAACCTGAGGAACCTCCGGTGGTCCGGAAGTATGGGAATGTGAAGGTAGGCCTCCGTCAGATCTATGGACGTCAGAAGGTCCCCCTTCCTGATGCTTGCTAATATCGAGTGAAAGGTTTACATTTTGAATTTTTTGTACTCCAGGTGTCTGTTCAGACTCTTTAGGTCTAGTGTTGCTCTACACACACACACACACACACACACACACACACACCGAATTCTTTGGGACTATGAATAGGATGGAATAGAATCCTTGTCCCCACTGACCTCTTTCTACCAGTTCTATAGCCTGAATGTCCAGGAGGTGTTGGATGGTCTCCTTGGTGAGGTTCTTCTTGACCAGATCTTTTGGAAATGGGCAAGGAACGAACTGGTTCGGGGGGTATCAAGAGGAATTCTAGAGATAGGCCGAATCTGATGGTATTTAGGACCCAGAGGTCCGTGGTGATGGCTTACCATTTGTGAGCAAAAAGGGATAGCCCGCCACCAATGGGGGAGCCCCCCGGGCCGTCACTTGGATCTCCGGTAGGGACGCCCCCCAGCTCCTCGAAAGGGCCACCTTGCTTGGGCCTGTTGTCTGAACCTGTCCCTGTTATTGTTTCTCACCTTGACAGTCCGATCTAGGTCGATAAGGATGGGAAAAGGCCCCTTGATCCATGCCTGCATCAGGTCGGAAGGACGGTCTGCAGGAATAGGAGGGAGCTCTCCTCTCTGTCCTCTTTGTCAGGTGGGCCAGGATCTTGTGTTTGTCCTTATTTTCAATTAGATAAGGGTCAAGCGCCACGCCAAAGAGCCAGCCGCCCTTATAGGTGCCGCCGCTAAATGCTACTTAGCCTTCATGTCCGCTCTCCAATGTTTGAGCCATAGCAATCTGCGTGCACCAGTGTTGTACGCTATTGCTCTGGCAGAGAAATTGGTTGCGTGTAAGAAGGAATCGACATGAGCTCCACTGCCGCCACTAACCTTCTTAAATTCTGGTGAGTTTTCTCCGCCACTAGGGGAATACTCGACTGGAGTTGGCGCAGCCAAAGAAGAGATGTCCTGGCAAAAAAGGACGTAGTGATGTCTGCCTTGATTGCCCACGCTGAGGCCTGGTGTGCCTTGCGGAAGATGAGGTCCATCTTGTCCTCTGATTTCAGGGCCTCCGCTGCATCCCCGGCTATCGAGGGTGGAGAAAAAAGGGTTGCAATGGGTTCATCTACTGTCGGCACTTCTATTATCTCTGATAGCGCCGGGTCTATGTTGAACATTTTCTTGTCTGCCCCCCCCCCCATTGGGAGGAAGGAACCCGGTGCCCCCATATTGTTTTGAACAGAATCAAAGAAGAGAGGTGGGCAGGGAACAAAATGTTGGGTATAAGTGGGCTGTAAGAACACCTTGTTGTTTGTGACCTTACTGGTTGAGAGACCAGTGGAAGGTCCTTTCTGCGGAATCGGAGGCCTCTCAATCTTTGCGGTGCTGCTGGCCTTGTGCAGCAGTGTCTTGAATAAGGATGGGTTAAAGAGGCCCACAAATGAAGGAGGATCTGGAGATATATCCTCTTCATTGGACAGCTTCTGGTCTGTCAGCTTGTAGTCCTCCACAGGAGCCCTCCTGCCTCTGGAGGACCTAGAGGAGAAAATAAGAGTCTTGGTATACAGAGGCCTCCTCTTGGGAAAGGGAACCGCCCCTTGAAGCCACAGACCCTGTTCTGGAACAATGGTGCATTGAGGAGGCCATGGCCTGTACGACAGCCTGAGATATCAGGGATTGTAGGTGCTCTGAAGACATTGCTCCATGAATGTCTGAGCGATGGGTGCCTGATTCTGAACCCAGATCTCCAGGCCCCTCGCTTAGGGGAGATCCATTCCCTTGTTCCATATCGGCCTCTGCTTCCAGATGGTCCTGACTAGGCTTCCTTGGGCCAAATATTTCCTCCTCCCTGTAATTGGGTGGCTCTAATTCGTCTTCAGTGGAATTTTGCCTCCTTTCAGCTCGAGAAAATTGTTTCTCTAGGGCAGTGATTCTCAACCTTTCTAATGCCGTGACCCCATAATATAGTTCCCCATGTTGTGGTGACCCCCAAGTGGGTGTGGCCACCAATAAGAGGGAGGACAGCTAGGGAAAAGGGAAAAAATGGCAGACAGCATGGTTTGGTGACCCCCATGAAATGGTCATTCGACCCCAAATGGGGTCCCGACCCACAGGTTGAGAACCACTGCTCTAGGGCCTGGTGTCGTCGCTTAGCCTCTCTATCCGCAGCTTTGGAAGGCCTTTTTGCAGAGATTACCTTGGCTTTGATCTTGCCAGCCACTTCCTGTTTGGAGGATCTCTGTCTCTTACAAGCAGGAGGGCTGCTGATGGAAGGTTCCTGCACTGTTTGGGCTGTGTTTGTATCTGCCATTTATAAGGCTGAAGGGGATTCTCAGTTCAGCCTAATTCAAGATTAATTGATAACTGATTTAAGTCTTTATCAGTTTATGATGATGATGATGATGATGAAGATGAAGATAATTGGTATGGCTAGGAAGAAGGAAGTCTGACTCCGATTCCCTGGCCTCAGACCACGTGGAGGTAGCTATTCTGCCTGTGCAGCTCAGCTGAGCTCCCTGGAGGCTGCTGAACTCCGTTTGTGTATTCTGCCTGTGCAGCTCAGCAGGGCTCCGATTCCCTGGCCTCAGGCCACATGGAGTTAGCTATTCTGCCTTTGCAGCTCTGCCGGGCTCCCTGGAGGCTGCTAAACTCCGTTTGCATTTGCGTCTGAAAACAGAGCCAAATCAGGTAACGTTTGAAAACTAGCTCTCTACCGGATGGAGGAGCTTCAATTAAGCCACAAAGCTGCAACTCTCCACGGACCAGCTGATCTTCGGGAGAGAGTCGCAGAGTTTAAAGGCTCTCTGCAGACCAGCTGATCCTCGGGTGATTCGGCGAGTTTCAGAAGGAAAGCTTGCAAGTGCTCAGTTAGCCCTCCGCGGCTCACAGGCTGCCGTAAGAACTGCGGGAGGTTTAAATTTACCCGCGGATCAGCTGGCTAGTGGGAAGCTCTCCTCTTGTGGCTGGAAATCCCTGCGGGAGGGGTGAAATGGAAGGAGGAGGAGGAATGCTTCCCCCTTTTGCCCAGGGTCACACTTGGTGACCGGAAAATGGCGTCTGCTCTTTGTCCAGCTATCGGCTGGACTTAAGCCAACCTTGTGGCTGTGCTGCAATCAGCCGATCAGACAGCAGAAAAGGAAAGCGAACAGCCATTCATTTTCTAGCGATTCCCCCCCCAAATTAGTCAGTATATCAAGAAAATCAAGAGATACGACCTTATCTTCAGGAGTCAATGAAATTCAGTTTAATCGGGCTCAAGACTAGTCGAGACTGGGGAAGGGAGGTCCCAGAAGGAAAGGCGGAGCAAAATTGGACGACTAGTCTATGGGCAGAAGATGAAGTTAACCCATTGGTGGATTCTCCACTCGTCATGCTAGAGAATCTCTGGTTTATTCTGAAACACTTCAGCAAAAAAAAAGCTGAGTTGAAATACATTTTTCAGCACAGTGATCCCAGATACCTACCTTATCGTGTAATGTCATATGTTTTAAATTTATAGCAAAACTCAGGACCTTTTTCTTGAAATATTAATGTACAATCTTCTGGATTAATTTTGTAGTCTCTTCAGAATGAGAAGCACATATAAGAATTTTTCCCAGCTGTGTTTAGACTTCTGTAATAACACTAGAAGCATTGAGATGATTGGGAAAGATGACTTAGTTTGTATAAACTGGAAAATGACTTTCAATTAACAGCAGAGAATATCAAATTTTCATTTTCAATTATTCTAGCATGGAAAATTGTATTATTTTCCATCAATGAAGGAAAAGATTGCTCATCCATTGTGGCATCCAGGGAAGACAATGAAAAAAACTTCCAAAGATATTTGGGACCAGATTATGTGCGGAACCATCTTCATGCCATTATATCAGCCTGTCTCGCTTAGTCAAGCAGGGAAGACATATTGCAGAACCTGTCAGCCAAAGAACTCCCACTGGTGAGGTCAATGCAGAGAGTCTTCTTGCCATTGACCCTGCCCTGTGGAACACTCCCCCCTCCCCAGAGATGAAGTAGGCCTCTACCCTCCTGGCTTTCTGGAAAGGCATTAAAAACACAGTTCTGTGGCCTTCCAGATATGGGGCTGCTTAGTGCCCTGAAAGCCCTCCCCCCCGCCTTTTAAATCCTTGCCTCTTTTACGTTTCATATACCTGTTATGCTTTTAATATTTTATTTGTACACTGCCCAGTATATTGTTCTTCTGTGAGGGAGATGGGCAGTTCCTAAATTAGACAGCTAGATGATAGACAGACAGACGGACAGATGTGATAGACATGATAGAAGGATAGATGATAGATACAAGGAAAAATAAAACTGATACTTCCAGACAATGTTAGGACAGTAAAAAATATTGGTGGTGCTATTTACGTAAAAGTCATCTATGATACTATCATAACCATAAGTAGGTTAGTATTGAAGTTGAAGCTGGGGAGGTAGGTAATTCAGAATAAAAGTTACAAAAAAACCAAGAGAGACAACATTGCACATCAACAAAAGGGAAAATGATGTTAATGGATTACAAGCAAAAGCTGCATAGAAACGGGTAATAAATAAAAAGGTAAAAAAAATCTAAGACAGAAACTGTCTTGAACAAGTAAGATTGTCAATACTATATTAATTTGTCTTAATAAAGGTAGATGCTGTAATACCAAATAAGAACTTTATGAAAAAGGTCAGTGTCAACATCTCGGAAAATTCCAATCTCATTCTACAGAAGAGAAATTCATGTAATGATGGCTGGGAATTTCTTTGCTAGAAGAAATCCAGATTTATCTATCAGAGTATATAATAGCTGGAATATCTAAACATTACAATTCTTAAGAATCATAGCATGATTCCAGACAAAATACTGCTCGCATAATCATCAATAGCAGGACTGAGACACACACAAGCACATGTAGAATTCAGAAGTAACAAAATGTACAAAGGAAATTGTATGTGGTCTATCTCAGCAAAATGCTATCTTTTAAGTTGATTCCATGATCTCTATCTCATTCAAAAATAAATTATTTTTGGTTCTTCAATACTTGTCTAAAGTTTCATTTTCTAAAACTTAGATACTGAAAAACAGGAAGAAACAGTTCTATAGCTATATTGGTTTATGATGGTAGTAGAGACAATAATGTAGCAGCTTCTTGCCATTGATTCCTGTTCTGTTTTAATGTATGGACTTTAAACAAATAATTATATCATCAATCATGCTGTAATCACTATTCATTAAGTAAGGAAAGGCTGAGCTTTAACCACCATATTAGTATCATTTAATTTCTGCACATCCATGGAAAATCAAAACAGCTGAAAGCAGCACAGAAGTTTTTTTAAAATAGTAAAATTCTACTCCTTGAAAAAAGGTTACTTGCCCCTCCTTTAAGTCTGTTCTAAAATGGAGTCTACGAAAGAGAAAGACTGGAATGTCAGAAGCTGCAGCAATACTGCTTTCCTAAAATCTGTTTTAAAAAAAGTATACATATGTACGTGCGTGTGTAAATAAATAAGGGGCAAGAAGTCTTGGTAGGTTTAAAAATGGGCACTCATGATTGTTGTGCCGACTGGTACCATACTTTTTACCTTGGATTAATATTTAACAGAATAAACAAAATATTAAATACAATATTGATTATAAACAGCAGACTCCTAAATAGAAATAATTTAGCTTTTTTGCAACCCCTTCACCTTAAGAACAATTTGCATTGTTTGAGCCCTTCTCTTTCTTGTGTAAAATTTCACAGTAACATAGAAAATTCTTAATACGTCCACCAGTTTTAAATTAAATACATAACAATAGCACATATTAGCTGAGATCTCTAATATACACTAATGTTCCAAAGGAATAGATTGTACTATTTTACTTACCTGCAAAACATTCAAAGGGGTGCTAGAGAGAGTGAATCACCTATTCTTAAATTACCAAAAGGAGGCCCATCTGCTGCAAGGGTTAGGTAGCTTCTTTGACTCATCTATTTCTGCTTGTGTGACTACATGGGGAAGAGCCCCTGGGTTCTCATGAAGCAAAGCCATATACAGAAAAAGGCAGAGGCAACCTCCAAGTCTTCCAAATAACATGGCTCCTGTAAGGCCTTGAAGCTATGCTAACACATTCTTTTGGAAGCTTTAAACACCCTCAGATGGCATTTTCTTCCACAGCTTAGGCACAATTCCACAGCTCAAAACAATGCTGAAGTAAGAAGAGGATAATTCAAATGTAATTCATTCCAAGCCTAAAATTAACCTAAAATTAATAAAGAATAACAGCTTACCAAAAAAGGCCTGCTGACCCAGCTGCTTCCGAAGACTCTCTACAACAGGATGGCCAAAAGTTATGTTTGGAACAAAATGCCTATCCAAATGGGGAAAAAAGTAATAAATCCGTTGTGAAACAATATTTGCTGGAGTATTTCAGTATATGCACAATTTTAAATAATTAACTAGCATTTAATTTACTGATTAAATATTACTAAAATGCCTGTAATGACAGGAGAGCAAAGACCTTTAGTACTGAAAGGAGCTTCAGCCAATGGCAACCGTTTGTTCATACCAGGACTTGTGGTGGAATCCCAGTTAGACTGGAGGAAAGTGTTACTAGGGGAGGGGGAGGCAAGCTTAGAGTCCTTGCATTGCCCCCTGCAGAATACCACTGAAGAATTGCAAGCCACTGCAATCGCCCTATGGGATTGGGCATACAGAATGAGATCTATGTTTGAATTTTATTCTAAAATACATATTGACAAACAAGTTTGCAAATGCAACTCCCTGCTTCTATTTTCAGTGGTCCACAATATTATATAGCTACAATCTACAATTTTAATTCTATATATCATCAGTCTCATATTCCATTGATTTTTTAATGGAATTATTTTGCAACTTGTTTGTAAGATACATATAGTAGATCTCTCTCCTTTGTAATCCATGGCTAACGGTTATCAATATTTTACATCAGTTTTTTGCCAATTACATTTTTAACTATTTAAGTTATTGCAAGAGAAATCTTTCCTCTAAACTGAGGAAAGGCAGTACACGCATTTAAAAAGTCTTCTGATTCCATAGTTTAATTTGGATGCATCAGCAGCATCTAAAACTAAGAAAGTATCAGTACTGAAATACATTTTGATTGACTCTAAATAGACAATATTTTTACCAGGCAATTAGAATATTTTATTTATTTTTATTTTATTTTTAAAATTTATAAGCCGCCCCACTCCCAAAGGACTCTGGGCGGCTAACAATAAAAAACACATAAAACATAACAAAATAAACAATGCAAAGACAGTCATCCAGGGGTCAGGTTTTATAAACCCCAGGCCTGCCGGAAAAGCCAGGTCTTAAGTACTTACGGAAGACCAACAGGGTGGGAGCGGTCCTAATCTCCGGGGGGAGCTGGTTCCAAAGCGTGGGCGCCATCACAGAGAAGGCCCTCCTCCGCGGCCCTGCCAAATGGCACTGGTTGGCCGACAGGGCCTGAAGGAGGCCCAGCCTGTGGGATCTAACCGGACGTAGGGAACTATGAGGTAGTAGGCGGTCTCACAAATAGCCTGGCCCTGAACCATATAGGGCTTTAAAGGTAATGACCAACACCTTGAATTGGACCCAAAGACCAATAGACAACCAGTGCAGCTCACAGAGGATAGGTGTAATGTGGGTGTATCGAGGAGAACCCACTATCACTCGCGCGGCTGCATTGTGGACCAACTGTAGTCTCCAAATACTTTTCAAGGGTAGCCCCATGTAGAGCGTGTTGCAGTAGTCCAGACGTGAGGTGACAAGGGCGTGAGTGACTGTAAGGAGAGCCTCCCGGTCCAGGTAGGGTCGCAACTGGTGCAACAGGCGAACTTGTGCAAAGGTCCTCCCAGCCACAGCCGTCAATTGATATTCCAAATTCAGCTGTGGATCAAGGAGGACACCCAAGTTGCGAACCCGCTCCGAAGGGGGTATATTTTCCCCCGCAAGAGTCAACACTGGACAGTCGACATAATCCTTGGGAGGCAACATCCAAAGCCACTTGGTCTTGTCAGGATTGAGCCTGAGTCTGTTAACCCCCATCCAGACCCTCACGGCTTCGAGGCAACGGCCCATCACATCGGCCGCTTCACTGAGAACGCTCGGGGAGGAGATATATAACTGGGTATCATCAGCATACTGATGAAATCTTACCCCGTGCTGTCTGATGATCTCACCCAGCGTCTTCATATAAATGTTAAATAGGAGGGGAGAGAGGACCGACCCCTGTTGCACGCCGCATTCAAGGGGCCTCGGGATTGACCTCTGCCCTCCCACCAATACCGATTGCGACCGGCCAGAGAGGTAGGAGGAGAACCACCGTAAAACGGTGCCTCCCACTCCCACCCCTTCGAGTCGTCGCAAAAGGATACCATGATCGATGGTATCAAAAGCCGCTGAGAGGTCAAGTAGCACCAAGACAGAGGAATAACCCCTGTCTTGGGCCCGCCAGAGATCATCCATCAGCGCGACCAAAGCGGTTTCTGTGCTGAAGCCGGGCCTGAAGCCAGATTGAAAAGGGTCTAGATAATCCGTTTCATCCAGAGACCGTCGGAGCTGGAGCGCCACCACTCTCTCTACAACCTTCCCCACAAAGGGAAGATTGAAGACTGGACGGAAGTTATTTAAATCAGCCGAGTCCAGGGTAGGCTTCTTGAGCAGGGGCCTCACAACCGCCTCCTTCAGGGATTGCGGGAAAGACCCCTCCCTCAACGAAGCGTTGATCAACACCTGGAGCCAGCCTCGTGTCACCTCCTTGGCAGCCGAGACCAACCAGGAAGGACACGGGTCCAATAAACAAGTGGAGGTGCTCATTGCTCCCACCGCTCTGTCAACATCCTCAGCGGTCACAGACTCAAATTCATCCCATAAAACTGAGCTAAGACCTGCCCCAGTCATCTCAGAAGGCCCTGCCCAATCGGAGTCTAGGTCTGTCCGAATTCGAGCGATTTTGTCTGATAGGAATTGCACAAATTCCTCCGCTCTACCCTGTAAGGGCTCCCCAGCTTCCCAAACATTAAGTAGGGAACGGGTCACCCTAAACAGGGCGGCAGGGCAAGATTCTGCAGACGCAATAAGTGCGGAAAAATGCGAACATTTTGCCGCTCGTATCGCCACTAAATAAGTCCTAATATAGGCTCTTAGTGTCCGGTTGGATTCGGAGTTACTAGCCCTCCAGCGTCGCTCTAGACGTTTCTTCTGACACTTCATCTCCCGTAGCTCCTCGGTAAACCAAGGTGCCCTCTGGGATCCACAATCACGGAGAGGTCGCAAAGGCGCGATCCGGTCTAACGCCCCTGATGCCGCCTTATTCCAAGCAGCAACCAAGGACTCAGCCGGTTCGTGGAGGAGGGAATCAGGAAAAGCCCCAAGCGCTATTTGGAACCCCTCCGGGTCCATTAAACGCCTGGGGTGGAACCACCTAATCGGTTCTGCCTCCCTGCGGTGGGGGAGTAGGACCAAGAAATCTAACCTCAACAGGAAGTGATCCGACCATGACAAGGGAGAAGTAACTATACCCCTTAAATCGAAATCACGTCTCCACTGCCCCGAGAGGAATACCAAGTCGAGCGTGTGTCCTCCCCTATGGGTCGGACCCTGAATTATCTGGGTCAGGTCCATGGTTGTCATGGAAGCCATGAACTCCTGAGTCACACCAGAGGATTCGCCGAGTGACGGCAAATTGAAATCCCCCAGCACCATAAGCCTGGGGAATTCCACTGCCAACCCGGCTACCCCCTCCAGCAGCTCAGGCAGGGCTGTTGTCACATAGCTGGGAGGCAGGTATGTCAACAACAAGTCCAACTGAACCCTTGAATCCAACCTCAAGAGAAGGGACTCACACCCAACAACCTCTGGGGCTGGGATCCTGCGAGGTCTCAGGGATTCTCGGACAAGAATCTCCACTCCCCCACCCCTTCCCTGGAGTCACGGTTGGTGCATTATCTGAAACCCGTCTGGGCCCATCTCTGAGAGAGGAACACCTCCCTCTTGGCCCAGCCAGGTCTCAGTAATACATGCCAGGTCGGCCTCCTCATCTAGTATCAAGCCCCGGATGAGGGGGGCTTTATTAATAACCGACCTGGCATTAAGAAGCAGCAACCTGAGGCCAGGTCCTGAACACCCCTCTCTCCAGGTATTGGAGAAGAGTCCAAGGGGTCGGAACAGGTAATCGCTCTAATGCAGCAAGTCCTTGTTCCCCGAAGATGGCCCACCCCTTGGCTCCCGCCATATCTACCTCCCCCTACGATAACTGGGATGTTCCGGCCCACCTCCACCCCCGAAAACTCCCCACCCACCCTGCAGGTCTCCCTCCCACCATCCCCCCCTCCCGGCAGGCCACATCTCACATTCAAATCGAGCCAGGAAGTACATCCGGCCCCCCCTCCACTTCTGTCTACACACTCAGCAGAGGGGGCACCATATTATAGTTATTTGAAATAAAGAGCTGTAATAATATAACATATTATTAAATGAAAGACTGGTTATGGGTCCTAAGGTTATTGTGTTTTTTACAGACAGAATAATTGAACACAATATTCTTCCTGGTTATTGGACATTACAAAGACTGTTGGCTGTCAACTCCATTAGATTGAAAATGTAAAATGATGGAGGTGATAACATATGATAGGAGTTTAGCCTCTATTGCCAGTTTTGGTTTAATATCCATAAATTTATTGACATGGTTCTGGGAAGAGTAATATGATTCAAAGATATGAATTTGAATTGTATAACAATTTGGACTTTTATCAATGTATGAAATTACTAAGCATGGGACATAGCAAAATATTTGACTAATAAAGATACATTAATTTATTACTTTGTTTGGAAACTTTTAAAAACTAAATTAAAATAATGTAGATTTTCCCTGAGCTATAGACTTTATATAATACAATAATAAAAAATATTAGGACTTCCAGTTTTGCATCGTAGCGACTCGCCCGAAGGATTGCAGAGCTCTGCACCCCACAGCTGGTTTCGCCCTGCCTGGGGACCTTTAATGGGTCTAATGTTGTCCCACAGAAGCGACGAAGGAGGAGCACCCCGATGATCACAGAGCGATGGCAGTCGATCCATTTGATCTGGGGGAAGCTCTCCAACCCAACAGGAGAAAGGCTAGCTGCACTCCGGTGACTAGCCCAAGCTACTGCCATCCGAAGTCCAAAAGCACCAACTAAGAACAACTGTGAACAGCATGTTGGAGCTGAGTGAGAATATTGATCTTCTCTATTTTGAAACTGA